TTGCGATGGCGGCCGCGGTCTTGGTGGCAGCGGCCGTGGCGGGCTGGGTGGCGGCGGCGAGGGAGGCAGCGGTGACGCGGAGGCGGACTGGGCGGCGGCGGCGACGGCGGTGGTGGGCTTGGTGGGGGGAAAGCGACAGTGGGGGTGGCGAGGGCGGAGAAGGCGCCGGCAGAGGGGGCGACGGCGGCGGCGGGCTCGGCGGTGGCGGCGACGGTGGCGGCGGCGAGGGCGGCGGCGGCGAGGGCGGCGGCGGGCTCGGCGGCGGCGGCGGCGAGGGCGAGGGACGCGCCTGAGGTGCAGGGAGGGCGTCAATACTCACAGCACTGGTGGTTCGGCCTCTAGGAGGCGGGCGGCACCCGAGCGGCTGGCGTATTTTCCGGCCAGGCCGACGAGGGTGAAGGCGTCGATGAGCATCAAGCCGCCGTGGGCCGCGCCAGGGCCGCGGCGGGTCCTGGCGACCCCTCGAGGGAGGCCAGGGTGGCCAAGGCAGCAGCCACAGCCTGGGAGGAAAAGTGCGCCGCCGACGCGCACTTCTCGTGCGGGTCATTCTCGGAGTTGTCGGGGACGTGCGAAGCTACCGCCTGCGAACGGCCGGTTGGAAGACGTCATGGCGGGCATGTGCGACCCTTAAGAACCCGCGTGCGACCAGAAGGTCGGCTGTGAGGCGAGGCTGAAGGCAGTCCCAACAGTGGTGGATTTCTGTTGCTGACAGTTGAGGGCGATCCCGCGTGAACTGACGGCAGGCAAGCCGGCAGGTGGGAGGCGGGGATGTGCCGGGTGGATCCCCAAGCGGGCGAGCCGGGCCCGTGCATAGTTCGGGCGCGGGGGGCGCGGGAGCATGAGAAAGACGCACCGACATGCTGGTGGCTACCGGTCTCTTGATTGCCTGATTTTGACGATTCTCGTTGGACCGTCGCTCGGAGCGAAATCCCCAAACCTCTCAGCTCAAAGGGGGAATTTATTTGTTTGGGCAGTGTTCGACCGGGCTATCCTAAGGACCTTGATCCACCTGCCCTTGGCGCAAGATCCGTTCGAGAGCGTGAGCGAGTGGCGTCTCCGCGCGCACCCACGACGCACGAGACCCACGGCCACGCCAGTCGCGTTATTAGAATTAGTGATAGTGTATTTTCGTACCCGTATTTACGTAAAAAGCGCGTGCGGTGCCGGCTGCCGCGTTCGGCTGCGGGGACGGGGGAGCCAGAGTAGCTAGAGATCACGCTTCACGGCAGCGGCACACCCCACACGTGACATACGATGTAAGACATCGTACAGAGTGTGGCACTCACAAGCAAGCCGAATCCCGTAGTGACTAGTGTTCACCGGGAGCCCCCCACGTATAAATAATCGAGGCGCGCATTGGAGAGGGGTCTACTCTCAAAGAGTACAACAGAGGAGCAGACTCAACCCCACAAATGGGGCGGTCGGTCTCGTGCGTCGTGGGGGCCGCGCATGCATGCAGAGCACCCGGGGCGCGAACCGAAGCGGGGCGCGGGAACCGTGTGCGCACGAGAAGATCGAATCATATCTCGCGCTCCTCGGAGGGGGGGGGGGGGGGGGCAGCTCGGGACGAGGTGCGCCCCTGGCCCGGCGAGGGGCCGCCCTCCTCCTCCTCCTCCGCCTACTCCTCCTCCTCCGCCTACTCCTCCTCCTCCGCCGCCTCGAGGGGCGACACCTCGAGGGGGAGCGCCTCCTTCAGCTTGCGCGCCGTCGCCTCCGCCTCCGCCGAGGAGGGCGAAGGCTGCGACGACCACGCCTCGAGGTTCTCAGACACGCGGTCAGCGTCCGCCGCAGCCTGCGCCGCCTTGACCTCCGCCGCCTTCTCGTGCTGCTTGACGGTCGCGTACAGGTACGAGCCCCCGATCGCCAGCGCCGAGCCGCACGCACCGAGCGGCGTCATCGGCGTGCGGAAGGCGACCATGCAGACGAGCATGATGACCACGCGCCTACGCGGAGGCGGCGGGGAGGCTCCGGCGAGGGGCTGCCATAGGGGCTGCCGCACGCCTCGCGGGCCGGCAGCACGCGCCGCATCGTGTTTCCGATGGCGTGCGTCACCGGGTGGACGTTGTTGAGCGCCTTCATCGCTACCTCGGAGTAGCCGTAAAAGTAGAGCCCCGTCGCCGCCACCTGGCCGGCGAGGCCGAGCGAGCCGGCAGGGTAGCCTGCGGCGGCGCTCGCCCACAGGGCGGGTAGCGCCCGCCCCTCGACGAGCAGAGCGGCAGGCACAGAGACGGCGGCCGAGATGCAGGTGAGCAGGCCGAACATGTCCGCGGGCGCGAGCTTGTCGCCGTCCGAGGTGGAGAGGGCGCCCATCGACTGCTTGGAGAGGACGTTGCGGAGGGCGAGGGCGAGGTCGGAGGCGACGGCGCCGAGGAGCGCGGCCCACGCGAACGAGAGCTCTTTGAGGGTCGCGAGGCCGACGCCGGCGATGATCGGGGCGAGCGAGAGCCAGACGCGGAGGGAGACGGCCTGAGGAGGAGGCGGGAGGGAGGGTCGAGTTTCGGCGGCCAGGTCGGCAGGGCACGAGAGAGAGAGGGGGGGTGGAGAGGGAGGCGGAGACGGAGGCCGAGACGGAGGCCGAGAGGGAGGCGGGCCTGCTTCAGCACTGCGGCAGAGAGGACGCAGGCGTAGACCGGGCCGGCTGCCTTGACGACCTGCGCGAAGGAGACGGACCCCGCCGCCGTGCCGACTGTGCCGGCGATGTGGCCGATGGCGTGGAAGGTACCAATCGGGATCAACGCGCGGTATGTGGCTGCGGAAAGGCGAGGCCGGCGCCGGAGGCCGGTCAACCAGAGCAGGTTGACAAAGAGCGAGCCGACGACGACAGTCGCCGTCGCGACCGACCACGGGCAGGGCAGCGCGTTGGTGACGCGCTTGTTTGTGATGGAGTAGCCGACCGAGAGCAGGAACCAGAGCGCAAAATAGCCTCCGACCTTGAGCCGCTGGACGACGCCCGATGGCGCCACGACGGCGCACTCCTCGGCGTCGCAAAAGGCGAGGCATCCGTCCGAATCGGCGTCGCACGGGACACTCACGAGCTGCATCTCGCCACGCGCAAAGGCAACGGCGCTGGCTGGGGTAAGGCTGACCACCTTCTGCGGCTGCTGCGCAGCAGAGGCCACCGGAGAAGAGAGCCGCGGCGAGGAGAGCGCGGCGCGCGAATGGGAGAGCGCAGCAGAGGCCACCGGAGAAGAGAGCCGCGGCGAGGAGAGCGCGGCGCGCGAATGGGAGAGCGCAGCAGCCGCCGGGGCGAGTAACAGCAGAGCGAGGCTGCGGGAAGATGACATCGAATCAAGGGGAGCCGAGAGCTCGCGGAGAGCTAGCCGAGATCAAATGAATTCTTTTCGCGGCGCCCGTCACAGCAGACTAACTCGGACTGCGAGTGTGTGTGTGTGTGTGTGTGTGTGTGTGATGGGAGGGGGCATGCGTAACGACACTGCTAGAGATGCCTGTCGGGGCCCAGAGATAAAACTTCTGATGCCATGCGTGACCTAGTGTCCCCAGCTATGGGCGTGTCCACGTTGGAGCCAGGTGTGGTGTGGGCGCGAGAATAGCTCCGCCGTTCATGGAGGCAACCGATGCGAGTCGACTGGTGTGTCGTCGTGGTTTCGTATCAAGAATACTCACTCACAATACTCACTCACACTCGGACTGCGCCGTCCGTCCTCCCATCCCTCCCTTGGGTTGTCCGTTTTCTTTCTTTCTTTTAGCTCGGACTGGCACTACAAAAGGCACGGCAGGCGACGGCCCGACAAGAAGAATTCTCGCCGGCGCGGGCCTGTGGCCAACACAGCTACACGGGTCGAAGAAGAATTTATTAAGGAAGAAAACGGAGCCGCGCTCTGGTGTGAGCGGTTGCTGCCGTGCATGCGCCAAGCCCGCGCGCGAGCCCTGCTCGTCGCCCAGCGCGCTGGAGCGGCCGCACACTGCTCGGTACCCCCCCTCCCTGCACACCTAAGCCATGCCGACCCCCCCCCACCACCACAGAGCTCTGCCTGTGGGTGGGGGGTGCTGGCATCTCTGTACAGACTCACAGCTGTAAGTAGCATGCGTTCTCAGTGGCGAGAATTTATGGTCGGCACCAAAATCAGTGTGGTCTCACCGGCGGGCCCTCCTACTGCCAGCCAGGGGGTGCGGGGCACGCCAGCCTCTCTTCTACGCCTCTCGTGCCTCGCGGCGCCTCTGCTTCAGGAGGGAAGATACGGCTCTCGCAGCTGT